AACAGTAATAATTATAATTATAATAATACATATATAGTGTAGGTTTTTGTTAATTACATGAATTTAATCAAATACTGCTTTAGAAAAGATAATAATATCCCTTTATAAAAAACATATACTTTTTATACTAATGCTTGTTTTTCTTAATCTACTCCTGTTTAATAATATTTTTTAATCTAATTGATTAATCATAATTTAAATTTATAAAATTATAATTAATTTATAATTATAACATGTTTATAATTTATAAAAATTAAAATAATTTTATTGCATCAGATAGTAGAATAAACTACAATACACTAGGAGGTGTTTAGAAAAATTTATAAATTCTAAATACAAAATTAATCTTTATTAACAACAATCGTTAAATGATAAAATATTCAAGAATATTAAAATATATGCTATGTATATCTACTATGACTTTAGTTTTTTTCATCACTAACATATATACTTATAAATTTTAAGATTTACATTTTGGAAGCTATGCATATATAAAAGTATTTTTTATCACTAATGAATATAAGTTGTTTTAGTAACCATATTTATTTTTGCACTAAAAGAAATTTCATATATAGTTAATATATTATTTGAAAAATTGAAAATAATTGTTTTATGCCAAAATATTTATTAAAAGTTTTACATTTTAAACTGGTAGAAAAAATTCTAAAATTGAGTTATGACAAACAAAAATCCTAGAGAGATAGTTAGTTTTGGTAACATACTAATTAAAAATTTAAAGATTTTAAAAAATGTAAGTAGCAAAATTAGCAATCTATGCTATCTAAAAAATATGCAATCATTTTTTTACTTAAGTGCAAAAATATTATTTAAAAAATATGTACATCTTTTAGCATTTTGATATATTTCTCAACTAATTGTGACACAGATTTACATATAATTACAATGTTTATTGATATAATTGATTTTGATAGAAGATTAAAAAATATTTATAATTTTTATTTGTAGGTAAAGTTAAATAAACAATACCTAAAATGTGAATATTTGAAATAAGGTTTAATTGGTATTTAATTTCAATGAATTTTCCAACTTTAGTTTTTTTTATACTTACAGGTTATAATTTAAAACTTAAATAACTATTATGTTAAAATAAATTTTCTAATTAGAATAATAAATAGATAAAATGGAATTGAAGTAATTTTTTTCATAATAAACTAATACTTTAGAGAAATTTTCTTTATTATATTTTTGTTTTTGATAGAAAATTATTGAATAAATTTATGCATTTTTTTTAAGTGGCAGGGTTTACCTACTCAAAAAAAATTATTTTTAGCTTTTTAGCAAATGAAATATCATATAAAGGACTTTTATAAATCATTGTGTGTAACACTATAAGTAAGTAATATATTAACATGGTGTGAAACATTATTCAAAATAAATATAAATGCCAATAATTTTTTTAAAAATAATTTTTTTTAATAAATTGTATATAAAGCTTAATTACTCGAAAAAAAATAGTATTCGAATGAGGGAGACAACTCAAAATTTCCATAATCAACAGTCTTCATATATATTATTTGAATGGACATATGGCAATACGATGAGAAATATTAATTAAAATTATATTTATTCATGATATTATATATTTTATTTTTATAATTATATTTTGAATTATCTTTCAGGTGAATAAACTATATAAAAAATAGTGAGAAAATAAAGATGCTTAACTTTTTTGGTATTTAGGTGGGTAATTATCAAGGGCTAATAAATATACATTCAAATCTCTCAAAACTCAAAATGCCCGAAATTATGTTTTGTAAGAACCAAATAAAGTAAGTGCTTTGAAGATTATTTATATTGCAATTTTGTAGAACTAGTTTTCACTATGGCCACTCCCAAAAAAAATTAACTTTATAGAATAATTTTTTTATTTATATTTCTTTACAAAAATAAAAGTTTATATTTAATTGTTATCGGATTTGGTCATTCATATGGACCAAAATTAATTAATTTGTTAAATATTGATAAATAGATTGAGATTTTTATGAAGAAAAACAGAACATTTAAATAAAATAAATTAATGATCTCATTTTATATATATTTTTAAATATAACATGTTTTCAAAGTATTGTTTTATATTGTTTTTAAATCCCACTAGGCTATGATTAAATATTAGATGATCTCGTTTAATTAGAATACACTTCACTATTTAAAATATTTATGCTATAAGAGATTAAACTCAGGTTGGTAAGAGTATCTAGAAATTCTTTAGTTTGGGACCCAGGCCAAACCTCTCTCCGTAGAAGACGTTCTTAGAGCACTCCTAAGTTAATATTGATATTAATATTGTGAGAAGTTCAATGGGCGTCCTGGTAAATATTCCAAGCAACATTTTGCCTCCTCTTCCCTCTGGCCGCGGGCGGTGTGTGGCTTCTGCAAATCTTGGGTCCGCAACTCCACCTATAAATTTGCCAAATGGGGTCTCGCGCTCTTCCTTTGAGCTTCCATCTGGGCTTCGAATGGAGGTTCTCTCTTGTCCACCGTCTTCTCCTTCTCCGGCAACCCAAAGCAAAATTGCTCCAGTAGTTTTTGTTCACGGGAGCTACCATGCGGCGTGGTGCTGGGCTGTGCATTGGCTCCCCCATTTCTCTCAAGCTGGGCACCATTGTTTCGCATTGAGTCTTCTCGGCCAGGTTTGGTTTTTCTTTTTCCTTGGTCTTTATAGAGTTTTGTGTGATAATGTCCGTGAAGGGAGAGAGTGATCCGCCAGCTGATCGAGTGCCACAGACTTTGGAGGTTTGCATTTTATCTTTGACTAAATTCTTTCTGTCAGTGATCGATTGATCTTATGCGCAGTAGCTTCATGCAAGCGATGTTGCAAACTTCATCGAGAGCAAGCTTCATGGCATTCCTCCAGTGCTCGTAGGGCATTCATTTGGAGGATTGATCGTGCAATATTATCTTCATTGTCTCGAGAGTAAGAGTTTCGATCTGTGAAGTGAAAATGATATCTTTCTTTTGCAGGATACCCGATGCTAGCTGCCGCTGTTCTAGCATGCTCGGTTCCTCCAACAGGGAATACGTAAGTTGGCCTTTTGGTTTCCACAAAATATATCTTTTCCAACAAGGATTACAATGCAGTGCTGTGGTGATGCGTTTCTTGAAGTCCAAGCCTCTTGCTTCCATAAAAGTAAGCTTCATAAGCTTTGCTTGTCTTGTGAATCACTTGTAAGCCAAGGTTACTTGGAGCTTGGCTGCGAAAGGCTTTGCGAGGTCTCTTCCACTTTGCAGAGAAACGTTCTTCTCACCGGACATAAACCATTCGGAGCTTGCAAGGTGAGCTTTGCTTGGATTTGTTTACAAAACCTCATATGGTTTGTTCCAGATACCAGGCTTTGATGAAGAACAGCTCCACTGTTCCTCTCTTTGACCTCCGCAAACTAAATGCATCACTGCCGATCGGCCCGCCATCTCCGTCGTCACCACCCGTTCTTGTCATTGGCTCCGAGAACGACTTCATCCTGGTAGAAAACACTCCCATGGCGTATCAAAGTTTTTAAACGTTTGTCTTCTCGTCACAACTTTCTCTTTCGATCCAGGACGAGCAAGCAGTACGCGAGACAGGGGCCTTCTTCAATGCCAAAGAGCACATCATCTCAAGCATTGCTCACGACATAATGCTGGACACGCAGTGGAGAAAAGCAGCCGATGTTGTTCTAGACTGGCTCAGACGTGGAAACATTCAAGGCTGAAGAGACCAAGAAAAAAAAGCGAAGAAAAGTTTGTCATGCCAATGCCAAAGGCAATAAAATTTTGTTCGTTCTTGATTGATTGACATGGTGAATGGACAAGCCATTGCTTTCCAGCCCGAAAGAAAGCGAGACACCCCTGCAAAAATATAAATAAAATATGTGAAGAATGGCCAGTCTACAAAAACACTGTGGAGAAATCAAGTGGTCGAATACCATGACACCAGAGACAAAAATTCCCTCTTTTCCCTCAAAAAATTCAAAAAAAATTCAAAGCTTTCAAATTACTTTGCCAGCCAATTCTGCCAAAAATACCTTCTTTTTTTTTTGTGACCAGAGCACTGAATGGTTTCGAAAGCTCCAGTCCTTGATCTGATTAAACTAGTCCTCCCCTCCATGGTTACAAAAAACAAGCCCTTTCAGAGTACGCCATCTTCTAGGCAATGCAACGCACAAATCTTTCTACTTACAATATATAATGCAATGTTTTAGCTCGAGAAATACTAGTTTTTATAGCAAACGCCTGGAGCTCAGTTTTTTTGGGGCTGGGTCGATCGGCTTTCTTCTCGCCGTGGTTTTGCTCCGGACTTATGGTTTTGGAGCTCTTTCGTGGATCGAAACTAGAGAATTTTTTTAGAGAGCTGGATGATTTCTTGTTTGCTAGAGATTCCTCTGTGAGGATCCATGACAATGCTAACTCAGGTGGTATGTTCCCATCCAACAAAACGTTTCATGGAATTCCACTCGCAGGTTTGATTGAGTGGGAGCATACCACTGTGTTAGGATTGTCACAAAGAAGCCTCTTTGTTTCTTGGTCTCTATCTCTATCTCTCTTCATTCTAGAATTGCTTGCTCCACTCCATTGCTAGTTGTTTCTCTCTTTTGTCAATTCGAGAGCTTGAAAGATTGATAGAGCTCAAGTGAACCAACTGTCCTGGATGTTTGATCGCATTCTCTTGATGTATGGCCTCGCAACATTCCAACCATGGATTCCCGAATTGATATGAATCTACGATCTTTTGTTGTGGTGTGTCTCCACAGGAATCTTGGACCCACAAGCGAAAGAGATTGAAATTCTCTCCAACGATCGTTCCATCTCTCCATCGCAGTCAAAAAAAGAGAGCGAGGGGTCACATTCCGATCCGGAAGAGCCTCCCGTGAGATGGACGGCCGCGATTTTGTCACCCATTCTTCTCGTGAATGGAAGAACTTTTACTTTATGTACAGTGAGTGGTCTTAGAACAAAGCACGCAAACGAAGAACACGAAAAAATGGTGTGCCGTGTCAATCCATCGATAGGACCGACCAATCGATCCTTTCACTTTCTTCGTGGCGGCTGCTAACTAGTGGAAATCCCAGCCAGTGGCGAAGCCAGATCCATGGCCGCGGTACCACCACGGCCCCCTGGCCAATCCGCTGGTGTGATAGACCGAGAGCCACAGCGCGAGCTCCTCGGCCAGGATTTCTTCCTGCTGCCTGTGCTTCTTGGCGAGATCGAGCGTGAGGAGGCTGGAGCGGCACATCGGGCAAGTGGTGTGGTTGTGATTCAGCCACTTGTCCAAGCAATCCCGGTGGAAGACGTGCGAGCAATTGGGGAGCTTGCGGACGAGCGAGCTGGGCTCGAAATCACACAGGCACACCGCGCATTGGGTCTCGTGTTCCTCGTTCTCGCCGGGGAATTCGAGCGAGGAAGGAGGAGAGGAGGAAGAAGAGGGGGAAGAAGGGATTTCTCCCGGATTATCGAGAGAGGAGGAAGGAATCTCCGAAATATCGAGAGAAGAATGGACGAGCTTACTGAATTCGATGAGAGGGAGCGAGGATTGGATCTCCTCCACGAAGCTATGGTGGTGGTGCTGGGGCTGTGAGCGATCCGGCGAGAGGCTGGAGGCCACCGGGCGCCGCGGCTGCCAAGACGGCTCCATCTGGTGGACCTCCGACGAATCCCTCTTGAGCCCGACGATCCGGAGCAGCGAATCGAGCAGATTCTTTACGAGCGCCAGCGAAATCGCCGTGTTCACCACCACCAGCGGCAGCAGGCCGCCATAGATGCTTGGAAATCCCATGCCTGGATGAAAATCTCGACACCAGCAGTGGCAAACTAGTACACACTGACACCAAAATTTAGTATCTCAAGAACCCTAAATTCTCGGTAGAGCACCCTTTTTTAAACCCTAATTTCTTGGTAGAACACCCTTAGTAAAAAAGACCCGCTAGGAAACGCTGACGTGTACGGCGGGCCGCGTGTCCGGCGGGTACGCCACGTGGCGATAGAGATTGATTCGTCTTTAATCCTATTCTTCATTGCTTCGTCAGTGGTCATGGAACGATTGGAAAAAGCAACGTTGAATCCAAGAGAAAAGACTAATCGATTTGGAGACAATCAAAGCTTATCAAAGTTAGACACGAGAGAGAAAACTAAGACAATCGAAGCTATATCTTATACTTCTAGAGTTTGTTTAAGTGTTGAGATGGAATGTTACTGAGGCATCGCTTTCGTGTTCTCTAAGCGGTGGCTTTTGTCTTCTTTACGTCGCGAGGACGATCACAAACTTCTCTCTCGGGATCTTGTCCGGTTGCAGCGTTTGGATTACTCTCCTGTGGCTTCCGCTTGAAGAATCTGCTGATATCATTCACCTTTTGTTGTTTGATCTGCAAGAACAACAGTAGTAAACAAAAAAAAACAAAAAAAAAGAGGAGAAAAAGGAGAGTAGCTTTTACCTCCTTGATACAATCTGGCCCATTAAAGGACGGCTTGCCCATTGCCGATGTAACAGGATACCATACCTGCAAGGAGTATTTAAAACCGAGAGAAAGATGGTTCTCGAGGAATCCATGGGTGGTGCCAGGCTTTAGAATTTACTCTTCCTTTACCAGATTCGGTCTTTCGTATGGCTGCACGAATTTGCGGAAGACGTCATCGAGGGAGCAGCCAAGCTCTAGCCATGCTTTCGTTGCGTCGTCGCTCGCTAGAATGACAGGCATCCTGTCTGTAGCAAAAGGAGAGTTGGCCAACACGATTAAAACGGGATTAAATCGACACTTCGTACCGTGCAGCCATTCCAATCGCTTGGACACTCGCGTGGTCAAAATGGTAAAAGTGAAGAGCGTGTCTCCTGATAGAGCACGTAAGCACACCCACGAGTTTGACGAAAATTTCATTACCTTCGGCATCTTGCCAAGAGTCGTACAGGCAGGCGAATACAAGAGGGCGCTCGTCCTGGAAGTGGATATAATATGGTTGCTTCTTACTACCATCTTTCTTCCACTCGTAAAATCTGCACAAAGCGAAGTCGTGTACGCAGTAGAAGATATGATATGCTTGTTTTGGTACCCTTCGACGCTCACGAGGCACCGTTTCGCTGGAAGAAGTCGAGAGAAGGAGGTCTTCTCACGCACAGTTTCTGATCTTGCATTGAACTGAAACAAGAAGAAAAATGGTTAGATCGCGACACAAGAAAGAAGTCGAGAAAAAAAAATGGCGCGATCTCAAACACAAGAAAGAAGTCAAGAAAAAAAAAAACGGTTAGATCCCAAACACAGGAAAGAAGTCAAGAAAAAAAAATGATTCGCTCGCAAACGCAGGAAAGAAGTTGAGAAAAAAAAATTTGGTTAGATCGCAAACTCAAGAAGGAAGTCGAGAAAAAAAAAATTTGTTAGACCTTAACATAAGAGAGAAGTCGAGAAAACGAAGCAAAGAATGAAACAGTCACTACAAAAAAGGTTTTTGGGATAGTTACCATGCGATAGTGATCGGGCTTCTCATTTTTTTTGGTGAAGCTGGGAACGAGCCCCCATTTCATCGCTTGCACAACCGGAAGAGCTTCCCCATCGTCTTTGGCTTCGTAATGAACAACAGGGAGATAAGCTCCAGGCGACACATTGTAAGATGGACGATACCTGCAAAAGCGCGATGGTAGAATGAGATGCGATCAAACGAATGCGAAAAAAAAATACCTGTCGTGATCGATCAATCGGAGCTGGCAATCCCCAAAACCACAGGCAGCTCCCACAGCGTCGGGGGCAAGCGTGCATCGAGCTCTCCCACACATTTCTCCAAGCAAAACGCATAAACCCTAGAGAAAGAAACAGTGATGAAGTGGCACACCCTCATTTAATGCCCGTGAGCTTTGGGATATTGGCATTTGCTAGGAGCACATAAGCCGCTCCATGCTGGAATCGCGTCAAGCTCTTTGCGGCCCTAGCTCCACTTTCATTGTCACCGTGAGACGAACAAGCACTAAGCAAGGCAATCCACTCCAGAGCCTGGGGCTCAAAGGGCATTGTAAGAATGAGTTTCTCACAGTCCTCCAAATGCCCAGACCGGGCAAGAAGATCAATCATGCAGCAGTAGTGAGGCCGCGACGGAGAGACTCCGAAATCATACCTCATGGACGTGAAGCAGCAGCGCCCATTGTAGAGCTTGCCCTCCCTGCTGCAAGAGGTGAGTACAAGAGCAAAACAAGCTTCCTCAGGCGCGACTGATACTCTCATCTCATCAAAAGTTGCAATTGCAAGTGTTGAGTCTCCAAAGTGGGCTTGAGCCGCAAGCAAGACGCTCCATGAGATTTGGTCCTGCTCTGGTATCTGATCGAAAGCTCTTTTTGCTCTTTCAATGTCTCCAACTCGTGCAAACGCTGCGACATATGCATTCCAGGAATGCTCGTTCCGAAGCGGAAGGCTATAAAACATTGCCACCGCCTGTACGACGTGCCGGTTCTGGGAATACGCGGAGAGCATTGCGTTGTAGGAGACGAGATCCCTCACCGGCATGTTTTCGAAAATGTGCTCCCCCTCGTCCAGATGCCCTGCCTGGGCATACGCAGCAAGCATTGCGTTCCAGCAGACAGTATTTCTGTGCGGCATGGAGTCAAAGACGAGTTTTGCCTCTTCGAGTCTCTCGCATTGAGCGTATGCCGAGAGAAGCGCGTTGTAAGAAACAGTGTCCTTGTGAGGGCATTCATCAAACATTTGCTTCGATCGCTCACAATTCCCAGCCAAGGCATAGGCTGTGATCATCGCAGTCCAAGAGAGAGGATCTCTCTGTGGCATCGCCTGGAATGTCTTCTCAGCCTCGGAAACTCTACCAGATTGGGCATACGCGGCCAGAATCGCGTTCCAGGAAACGAGATTCCTTTGCGGGAGTTCATCAAAAAGCGACTTTGATCGAGCGACGTCTCCAGTCTGGGCATATGCCGAGATCATTGTGTTGATCGACACAATCCCGTGCTGTGGCATTGCCTGGAGGACAATCCGAGCTTCCTGGAGATACCCGTTCTGGGCATAACCTCCTAGAATGATGTTCCAGGAAATTACATCTCTCCCCGGCATCTCATCAAATGCATTCTTGGAGGACTCTATTTGCCCCAATTGGGCAAAACCCGAAAGGAGGGCGTTCATCGCCACCAAGTTCCAACATGGCATTTGATCGAACAGTGATTTCGCAATCGATGTCTCTGCGGCAATGGCATAGCCGTAAACAAGCGCGACCCAGCTAACGAGATCTCTTTGAGGCATCGAATCAAACAATGCTTGCGCTTCCCGCAAATGCCCTCTAATGGCAAATGCGGAGATTATCGCATTCCAAGACACAAGGTTATCTTCCGGTAGCTCGCGAAACAATCTCCTCGCTTCACAGAAATCACCGTGATGACCGTACGCATCAATCATGGCCGTCCAGCTCACTGCGTCTCTCAACGGCATCGCGTCAAACAGTTCCCGTGCTTCTCGCAAATGCCCTTGTTGGGCATACGTAGACAGCATCGTGTTCCACGCTACTAGATTCGGCCCTACGATAGAATCAAACAGGATCTTCGCATCGTCGAGATGCCCATGCCGGGTATACGCCGACAGCATTGCGTTAGAAGAGACAAGGTCTCGACAAGGCATAGATTCGTAGATTTGCTTGGCTTCTTCCAGATGCCCGTTCTGGGCATATGCGTCAAGCATGGTAGTCCAAGAGATTAGATCATGATCGGGCATGGCATTAAACATTCGTCGCGCATCTTCCAGATTCCCCGAGTTTGCAAGTGCTGCGATCATAGAAGTCATGGAAACGGGCGTTTTAGCGGAGGCTGGCATCTTGAGGAGTATTGTTTTCGCATCTTCCAGATGCCCGTTGCGGCAGTAGGCCGAGAGCATGAGCGTCCAGGAGAAGGAGTTCTTGACGTAGATTCCATCGAAGACCTTGCGAGCTTCGGTGGCGCTGCCGCACTTGCCATACATTTCGATGAGATTGTTGAGGATGAAGTAATCGTCCTTGATCCTTGGCAAGAGAGTTGCGGCTCGCGAGTGGATTTCTCGTAGCGCTGGGAGGGATTTGCAAGACTGGATTGCTTCAATGCATTGCTTCCTTTCCATAAACCGGCAGAAAGAAAGTTCACTCACTTTGCTTGAAGAATTTGCTGTTCTTGCCACTTGGTCTCTAGCAGCTCTTCTCCCACAGGCTCCCCCAATAGGGCTCTCTCGAGGAGCTCTCCATCTTCTTCCATTTTCTCGGGCAATTCCACTTCATCTTCATCGTTGGCACTAGAGACGATCACTTCTTCGTTTTCTTCGATATCTTCGAGTCCTCCTCCTTGAAGTTCTTCCTCTTCCTCTTCTTCTTCTTCTTCTTGTTCTTGTACTGAAAGATCATCGCCACCACCACCACTTTCGGCTTCTTGAGACGGTTTTGTAAGTCTCAGCTCGGCTGGAAACTTTCAAAGTTAGAACTGCACTGAGCTGAGCTTAGATGAACTTACGATAGAGTCGCTTCGTAGGAACTCTGATACGCCTCCCTTTGAGATAACGATACTCATACCGCCGCAGGGGATACTTTTCTCGCACCTTCTCGCTCTTTTCTGGCATGCCGACTTTGAAATAGACCTCCGCAACCATTTCAACTAATCCTTGATCCGGTCTGACGTTGAGTTCTTCCATGTCTGCAAAGAGCTGAAGAAGGGGTATAAGAAAGGAGAAATTACAGGAGGAAAAAACTTACATCTAGCAGCTTTTCATACATGCCAGCTCGGTTGTAGATCCCCATCATAAGAGAAAAATGTGAACGGGGAAGCGCGTCCAAGTATCTCCTAAAGACACCGTGGAAAACTTCCTCGGCTTCCTCGATGCGGTCTTCTTTCTCCAGTGCCACTATCAGCAGCTGATAAGTTGCCATTGTCTTGCCATGTCCTTTGCTCAGCATCCACTTCGAAACCTGGCAAGCTTCTAAGGACAGAAGAACTAAGAAAAATCCACAAACCTGGATCACACGCTTCCATTGCCACTGATCTCGAAGAATCCTCAGAGCCTTTTTCACGGGTTCAATCGGAAAGTCGACTTCGAAAGCACTCCAAGCATCCAATGCACCATATATATCTTCCTTGCAGTCTGAGAGATTGGCTATCTGTAGGCAGCACAAGAAAAACAAAATCCTCAGTCACATAGCTTCGGTTTCTCGTCTTAAAAGCTCACTTACACATTTGATAAGGTTAACAGCCTTCAGAGAACTTCCTCTCTTGGCTGTTTTCTTCCATGTCTTGGGCTGCTCTCCTTGATTCTTATCTCCTTTCTTCCCTTGAGCGAAACAAATCTGGACAAATTGTGAGCTGCTATAACTGAAGTTTACAATTATGCTCACCCATGAACGCACTCGTCGACAAGAAATAATACCAGCTTGTAGGCCATCAGTAACTCTATCTTTATGGAAGCCACTGCGAGCAAAACTGGCAAAAATATGTGAAGAGTGAGCACAAAGCCGGGTGAAGAAGCAGCTTTACCTGTAGCTGTACACACTATCCTCTCGGCACTCTACTGAACAAAAAGCCTTTCCTCTTCTGAAGCAATGCACTCTCAGCCCGTAAACTGATTGAAACGGAGGTACCCAACACTTGAGCTGCAAGCACACTGCAAGAACTGAGAAACTGTGTTTAGAAAAATCCAATATCAAGCCACCAACATGCCTGGTCACAGCAGCTCGTCCATGGAAACGCTTGCTGCATTTCGTAATTTCTACCTGAAACTCAACTCGCGAAGCCCTAGAGACAAGTATAAACAAGGAATTGAATTGATGCCAGAGTTAGAACAAAACTGTCTCATTTTTTGTGACCAGCAAACGAAATAAAAACGCTCCAAATCACGCCTAACAAGCACGCTGCACCAGCCTGAAAATCAAGTGTGTTTTTGGTCCACTTCTTTGCAAGAGAAGTAAGAAACACCAAAACGAACCTGCAGTTGTGGAGGCACTAGTCCAAAGTTTACAAGCTGGAACGGTATCCAGACTTTCCAGTTCGCTATGACGGTAGGAAGCCAGTCCTGGAGATGACGAGAGGAAACCAGTGAGCAATACAGCATTGCTTAGCTCACCTGTTGAAGCTTTGTCCAAAGTTGCTGATTCCGACCCTCTAGGGTGAGCAAGACAGCGAAAAACGTCCCAGTTCCGAGAGGTGTAAACACAAACTATACGAGAGAGTAAAGTTTTCAGAGCTAGGAAGAGTCTTTAGTGTATCTTACTTGGTCCGCGGCAATGCGAAGGGCTAAACCCAAGACTCCTGGATACGGAATCAATTTTGGTAGAAATCCATACCTACAATCCAGAACTCTTGAAAGTTACAAAAAATAGATACCATGCTTGCTCACCAGTAGTGCATACCAGGTCCACTCATAAAAATCCCAATAGCCGTGAATGATAGAAGCCGCTGGAAATCTATTGTCTGGGACTTCTCGACAACAATCTAGAAATGAAAAAAAAAAAAAAGATCGTAAGTTTTGCAAGGATTTTTTCTTTTCTTTTTCTGCGGTTTACCTGACAAAACAAATCCGAGAATGCGTTTAAGAGGCCCGCGGTCAAGCTCTTCATAACCAAGGGATGGCTGTCCAGCAGACCAACATATCTACAAACGAAATGGTGAAGAACAAGACCAAAAGAAAAAAGAAAAACGTTTGGCAAATTTACCTAGACCAGAGGGAAAAGGCTGCGTTGTTCGCTGCCTCTGGAGCTCCAATTTCCACGGATTTCATCCCTTGCGCATCGGGGCTCATACATCTGCTACACAAATCATCCACCTTGCGCACGAAATGCCATGATTGAGCTCGTCGCTTCCGCAGATCCTGCCCAAATCCAGCTGAAACCGCAGACCTCGCGTAGAGCAAAGGATCGCCGCCGCATTCTCGCCTCCACACGCTACTGCCGCCGAGCACAGCGCTGGAGAGGGGGATCGTCGCCATCGCTCAAAAAACCCTAAAGAAGTGATTCCCGCCATACAGGAAGAGAGCTCTTATACTGTGGAGCTTCGCGACTGTAGTGTAGACAAGTGGTAGCGACACGTGTCACAAATCCGTATGAACAAAAAATAGAGCAAGCTCTTATTTTCCTCCGGGAATGTTCGTGTCATGTAAGCAACGTTGCCACGAGCTATTCTTTTTTGATTCCTCGGCTCATGGATGAATTCGTCCAGTCGAAAAAAGCCAATCCATTTTTTGTTTCTCTCCTCAGTAGTGATCGCCCAAGCGCATAATCCCCCACACGTCCAAAACTCCCGGAGGAACAGCGTTGTCCACGGCCGATCGAATGGAAGCTTTTGCCACTGATGTAACTTTCACTGGAGGCACCACCAAGTTCCCCAAAACTGGAACTCTCGTCATCGATTTCAGGTTTCGAAACGCCTGCCAGCAAAGTTCGAGTCTCATGCTCTGAGAAAACGAAGATAGATAGACTTACCATTTCCAACGGAGTTCCAATGACTCCCAGAGGTAATTGGATGCTGCCAACACGTCTAGTTCCGTGAATGAATCCCGGACGCAAGATCACGCCTGGGCCACCAACAAAGTTATCAACGCGAGACAAAGATTTAAAAGACGCGCTGTACTAACCGCCATAAGGGAATCTAGACATCACTGCGTTTTCAGCCGCTTTCTGGAAGGAAAAAATAAATTATCGCTTTCATAAGTATCGTATAGAACATTTCAAACCTTTCCTTCAAAGTAGCCACGCAAAATGTAAGACGCGAAGCCAAGATCTGAGGCAGATACATAGACAAACCTTTTGACTCCTGAAAAAAACAGAAGATGAAAATTGAAAAGAAAAACCACGATTACCAGAATCAGCAGCAGCATTGATGGCCTTGACATTTGCATCGCCATTGATTTTGCGCATGGTGTCATTCGATCCAAAACCGCCAACGCATGATATCTGGAAAGACAAGAGAAATCCTCGTGAAGAACAGAAGGAAAGACAAGAAAAGCAAAAACTTGAAAACTTACCACTGCCGAGACATCTTTCATGTGTTCTCCAATCGTGTTTGGGCCGATAAGATTTCCTGAAACCAAAACCTGTAAGGGGTGGTCAAACACAACTAGCTACCAAATGCCATTCCTTTGCTCAACACGAGGAAAAGAAAAAGAAAAAGAAAACAGTAGTCGTGGCGACTTTACCTCGAATCCACTCCACCTTATTCACCCAAGGTTCGTCAATGTGAGGCTTTCCAGATCTAAAACGAAAAGTCTTCTTAGTGACCAACAAAGAAAACAAGAAAAAAAAACCATACCTGTTTAAGCTCGCAACAGGAATGTCACGCACAACAGCTTCTCTACACACATGAGAACCTACAAATCCATTTCCTCCCAAAACCAAAATCTACAAACGGAAAAAAGGCCATTGAAAGTTTTCATCGATCCAGCAAAAATTCCAAGACTTTCGTCTACCTTCGACCTCTCGGGCTGGACGTCGACCGTCTCTGCTTCCTCAGTTGGATGCGGCGGAGGCTTGGCAGCTGGCCCCGAGCAAAGCGATCGCCATTTCTCATTGCCCGCGATCCTAAGCGCCGCGCGCCAATACGATTATCAGCTACTTCCTAGGAGATTACAGAGAATACATTACCGCCAGAGACACGATCGATCGCCAGAGAGCTTCGCGCCCGCCCTCCCAAGAGCAGCCGCAACCATCGCCAAGTCTAGAAATTAGAACCCTGGAAATGACACGTGGCGGCCTTTAAGGGATCGACCTAATGACCGTTCTAGAAGACATTCGAACCCATGACCAGTAAACGTATGTATGTACCATCGAGCTTTAGTATTTGTATTCTTCTACAGGCCCAAAATTTTGAGCTTTTCAGTCCCAGTCAGCGTCGAAGTAGCCCGCGTCTTTCATTTCCGAGTAATATACATCCTCGAGTTGGAACGCTTCTTCCTGAAAAACATATCCAAAGAGAATTGTGCGAGAGATTGAGAGAAAGAACTCCATTTCGCTTACTTTGAAATAGTCGGCAAGGAACGTGAGATACAAGAGAGGCGGATAGAACGCGTAGTACGCATAGTTTGTGAAGCTATAGATGCTGCAAAATCGTTTGGAATGAATGACGAAGAATGAAGAAACGAAAAGAAAGATTACCAGTAGCCGAATTCCGATCCACATCCGAGGATAAAGCTTCCCAGGGAACGCGACATGTTTAAAACAAACAAAACGAGCACGTAGTTATAGAACGCCGGCCTCGCTGCAAAAACAGGAAACAGCCACAAACGAGAAGTTCGAACAAGAAAGGCAAAAAATGAAACCATACCCGGTAAGTGATCTCGCCATCTCGTGAAAGGGAGAACCAGGATGAAGAAGTAGACGCCTGAAAAGACGAGGGAATGGAGGAACCAAAAGCTCCATTTGGACCAGTCCCCTGCATCACTTCCTGCCACGAACAATGGTATACCGAACCGGAAGATGAGAATTGCCTACACAAGTTTTGGGTGGCATTAGAAATCTTCTTTGCAAAAATCATACCTTGATCAATGCATCAATCGCTGCGACGAATCCAGAGAAAGTGAGAGTGCGAACGAGAGCATCCCATGTACTGGTGAGATAGCCCTGCGATAAGAACACCACCACACTGACTTCCAGTAGCACCATACCGAATCGAGTGAGCAGTGAGATGAGATTCCAAGACGTGCTGCTGGAATGCTTCATCTGGATACGAAAAAAAAAAAACTTTGAGCGAAGCGATCGATCGATCATGGCGATCATACCTCGAGAACGCACCACAAGATGTTGAGAATCGAGATGATCCAGAGGCAAGCATAGTAAGTGGCCATGATCGGCGACTGGCTCTGGAGGAGCTTCTTGACGCATTTGCGAGCGCGAGCGATGAGAAAGACCGTGAAAGCCAGCACCGGGAGCAGCATAACAAGGTAGTAGAGCACCCCGTGCTGGCCATTGGAGCGAGCAAACGCGAGGCAGCCCTTTGGATCATTGCTCACCTGTGAAGGAGGCGCTGCGCCATCGCTGCTCGATGGATCGGCTAGCAGGTCGCCGGAATCTACTAGAGACGCGAGCAGGCCCTCCGATCGCGATGTCGCCAAGATCGTGGAGAGGAGACACAGCGCCATTGGGTCATCTATCCCAAAATATTTGCCCTACTCCAAGAACCCTAGGTAGAGCTCTGTTCTTTGTGGAGAATGCTGGCGCTGGAAGGCGATGGGAGCTACGCTGTGGCCGATCGCCTGGCCATAGCTCTGGAGCCGGGATCTCTGTCCAAGCGCGAGGAGGATTATGTGACAATGCGAAGATTGCTGCTCCACAGGCAAGCGATGGATGGGAAGCTCTCGCGCCAGGTAAATTTCTTTCTTTCTTGTCTGGCGCCTGCATTTGCGCCTTCTCTCTGTCTAGAACTGGGATTGCAACGGGACTGGATATGTAGCTTACAGGAAATATATTTGCGATGTCAAGCCAAGTGTCGATCACAGTGAATGGGCTCCATCTGAGGGCCGACTCTCGAAAGATTTAAGCAAGGTTCGTGTAGAGTTGCTAGAAGATGGTCACTGTGGTGGTAATTTTCTTTTCTTGTTCTTGGTGTTGTTTCTTTTTCTTTTTCTTCTTCTGCTTTTGTGAAGAGTCCTGCTTCAATCTCGAGTCGCCGATCAAGCTCTGTGCAAGCAGACGAATCCGAGCAACCAGCGTACGCCTTTGCTGGAATGAAGTGCTTGTTTGATTCTTGCAAAGCGTCTGGTATTTTGATTTTTATTCTTCATGTCTTCTCCTTTCTTCTAACTTGATTTTTTTTTCTTGCAGTGAATATTGTTCGTTTTGGTAACCTCAGCTCTGATCTACTAGCGTTTGGCGCAGCGGATGGCACACTTACAGTATGCTCGCTCGAGGGCTCGCCGCGAGTTCTTCATCTCCTCAGGGGTCATTCCAAGGAGATCACAGGTAAATGGCTACTTTACAAAGCTTTGAAGCTGTTAACTCCTGACAGGAAACTAGATTTCGATTGGTCTCTCAATAACAAGTACCTGTGCTCCTCGTCTCTGGACAAAAGCGTCAGGATCTGGGATACGAGCGAAGGTCATTGCATCCGAGTGATATACGACAAAGTGTCCCAACTATGCATCCGTTTTCATCCTGTGAGTGAGCAGACTATCCCTCTGCGATGCTCGAGCGCCTAAAGAACTTTTCTCTCAGGTAAATAACAACTATCTAGTCGTCGGAACCGGAACCGGCCAGTTGAAGGTACTCGCGGCTAAGTTCGCTGCTGCAATCTAACTTTTTGTTTTTCGCTCAGGTTATCAACTTCAGTACTGGGCGGCACGTGAACCATTTGGACCTTGGAAGACAAATCACTGCTCTAGATTTTGATCCGTCGGGCCGCCTTTTGTTTGCTGGTGATTCAACCGTAAGAATTTTTCGGTCTTTCTTTATTGCGACTGTTTGATACCAATTTTTTTTTTTCTATCAGGGATGCATCTACAGTATAGCGGTGGACTCTATTACTGCCACACTGTCGTACGCACACAAGAATAACATGGGTCTTGCACGTAAGTCCACGACCACGACTGTGCAATTCAGAATATTTTCCCGTCTAGCTGGTGGGCCTGTGTTACTTGCTTCAAATCAAGATGGCAGTCTGCGGTTCTTCAGGTTCGTCGGTCTTGGTTTCCTCTGCGCTCGGTAACATTTTCTTTTTCAGTGTTGCACTGCAAGTGAACGGATATCTTACTCTAAGATGCTCCCTACACTTGCCTCCTCTTGCAAGAAACACAAGAGCATCTTTCTGCCCTCTGCTATCACTGGAAAAGGGAGAATTCATAGGTTCAAGTGTTTCTTATGTGGCTATTCTCTTTTTTATTAGCTCGTTTCTTTTGCTTGCAGTTACTGGGAGCGAAGACAAGAATGTGTATTTTTACGATTTTACAAGACCAAAGCATCCCTGTGTTAATAAGCTACAGGTAAGCTGTCCATTATAACTGAGCGCAGCGCGAACTAAACTTCGTTTTGTTTGTGCAGGGGCATGGCGCACCAATAGTTGGCGTTTCGTGGAACTATGGAGAGAACCTGCTAGCTTCTTCAGATTGCGAAGGTCTGGTGATTGTATGGAAACGGGCTAAGTCCGTAGATGGTTAGCTTAGTGGTTTTTTCGTTAGCTCGAATGCAGGATGCTAGTGGTTTTCCTCGCACTGTCAGTCTTTTATTTTGTGAGGTGATTACAGTGTCAATTGCCGATGCATGCTATCATGCTTTTGCGGAATGTACAAGACAGTTTTCAGTTGGTCAGCTCGAGTTTCGTCACTAAAATTTGGCTGAGAACTCCGAGAGTCCTTCAGTGTTTGCGCTGCTTGTTCCTAGAGTCCGGTGTGTGTTCTTCCTCTTCGGGTTACTTGAGTCCGTGGAGCGTGGGTGCCCAGTAGTCGGCTCCGTTATCGTTAGCCACCTGTAAAGTGCAGGACACCGGTACCAGGCATAGACCCCGGCTTCTGAGATCTTGCCTGTCCTCGCAGATTTTTCCATGCTCCTGGGCCACGCATGTCAAGTTTTTAGTCGAAGTTTGGACAAGCAATGCTAGTAAGTAAGTCGGCTTACGGTTTGCCGTGTCGTCGTACTGACCCCGGCTGGTTTCATGTAAGGCGAGCTGAGCACCTTCAGATCCAACATAGTTAAAGAAAGAAGCGACTAGAACTGGGGAGAGTGCTTGTTTTACCTGGACTTGTTCGTGCAGGAACTTGATGTACCCGATCGCTTCCAGCAATACGGAGGCTGTGTCAGTCTGCACAACGTCGACTTGGTTGACATGAATCAGCGTACATAAACAGGTACTCTTTACCTTTCCAAATGGCGAGACCAATTGCTGGAGTGCTGATATTCTCTCTCCAAGCTTCTCTTTCCTCACCTGCATCTGCATTTCCATTTCCAAAAACTTAATCAGCTCCAGGTACAAGGATCAGCCCCTATTTATTGTTCTGCTCATTAAAGTCAGCATCTACTGGAAGCTTGACTAGGAACTTGTCCTAAAGACTCATGCAGGATTCCTTAGTAGTAAATGCATAGAACTAATGCCTGGAAACGTTGTGCAGGCACCTACCTTGAAAGGGAAGGAGTTGCTATTTTCAAGCTTGGGTCTTTTCGAGAACAGCTCGGGCTCGCCGCTGCTGCTGCTTGCAACCCCTCCAAAGAGGCCCGGTACCCGGTCACTCGTCGCAGGTTCATCGTCATCCTGCATCAATTTATAGTAATCAGAATCGATGCGTTCGAGCGAGTTCTAAGTGTGTATGTGATCCTCTCGTCTTAGGAGATGTTACCTGGTGCTTTGGGATCACGGCCTCCTGGAGCTGTACCGTAGAACCACGATCCCGAGTATCCACATCTGTCGTCTTTCGTTTGTTTCTTTCGTATGACTCGGTGGATTTTCCTGCAGAATTCGACGGCAGCACCTCCGAGAGCATTGCAGGCAGCCTGCTGGAGCGCGTAAGCCACATTTCCGGAGTGTCCTGGCTGCCGCTGAGGAGCTGACCGAGGTGACTGCAACTCGCACTCGCAGCAGCTGTGGCATCCGGGATTGGCCTATCGGCTTGGCGCAAGAGATCCATAAAGTTACCGATTTTGGACGAACTTGTCGCGGTGGAAGACCTCTGGAGCGCCAGGACCTTATCGTCGATGACCAGACCATTGCGGCCACCGAGAAAGAACTCCTCTTCGTGCTTGATCACCGGCGGAGGGACTTGCATTTCAACCTGGTACATTGAACTCAAGCCTCGGCTTCCCGGCGACATCAAAACTGGATTTTGCAAGCTCCGATGAGTATCTTCCGAGCAGCTTCGAGACATTAATTCCGCCGTTCTACAGACGAGAAGCGCGTCCACCGCATAGCCTTGACTGGAATTCCTGGACAGAAAGGCGCAAAGAGAAGAGAAATTATATCGGAAAGGCTTTGAACACTCGAGATCGCGAAACTTAAAAGACACCGAAAAAATTCTTCTTACAGAATTGGAGTGCCGTATGCATCGTGCGCCTGATCGTCGAAGAGACTATCAGCCCGAGTCGACCACTTCGCACACTCGGCTTCCACTTCCAATAATGAGGCGGACTTTGGAGCGGGAGACTGGGAAGGTAGATTATTCCACGCAATCTGCTGATGCTGCTGATGCATTTCCTTTTGTCTAGTCTGGTTATTGCAGCTTCCATTGCGCGAGCTCGGCCTGCGACAAGAGAAACAAACGAGTCGAGTCAACACGCTTGTCAAGCTCGAAGTTTGAAGCATCTCATGGCTGGAGCTCGGGTGGCCGAGCTCGGGGACAGACTTACATCTCACAGAAAGTCGGAGCTGGAGAAGGCGGACATTGATCGGGAGTGGAGGTGGAGCTGCCTTCTGAGTTGGCACTAAGCGGGCTTTGGACCAAGGCTGCGGCTCGTTGCCAGCCGGAGGAATCAAGCCCGGTTGTTGCTAGAGAGACGAGCTTGGTTGCAGAGTCAGCCCGACTTAACAGGCCAGCAGCTTCGCATTCTCTGACGACGAACCTGTTGTCCAGCCGGAAGGAATTGTGCTGCTGTTGCTGCTGCTGATGCTGCCACATTGAAATCGTTGCTGCTTCAACAACAACAACACCGCCGCCGCCAGCAGCGCCACCCGTGCATCTGCGAATCGCCACCACCACCGCTGACTCAACTCGGGGCTCCCGAAACTAGGCCGCATCAATCAGTGCGCGACTCAAAACGTTTTCCTCTTAAAAAAGTGCTGCTGCTGCTGCTGCTGCCGCTACTTCTCGGGAGGGCTCGGACACTACGCTCGATGCACACACTCACTGGCTAGCCACATGCTCAAAGAACACTACGACCACCATCGCCTCGACTTTCAGTACACACTTTGAAGAGAAACGAAAGAGTTTCTCTCGAGTTTCTCTCAGTTTCTCCCAGCACACCGGCAGCAGCAAAACAGGAAAACCAACAGCAGTGGTAAGCCGATTTTGCTCTCGGGGCTACTAATGTTTCTCACTGCCACGCCTAGGAAGGAAAGGAGCTCACAGCTACAACTACAAAGACAAAAGGAATGCGCCTGACTGACGACTGTTCACCAGTGCACACACACACACACACTACACACTCTTTGCTTGGGTCTGGAGGTATGTATGCAAGTATTATATCGTCGTCTTCTTTTTCATTACCTCTCTCTCCTGCGAGGGACCTGATTACTTTCTTCTGCCTTGCAGGTCACGTAAGGCGGGATGCCACAATTTTGAGACTTTCGGCACAGCACTGGCAGCTGCTGTGCTGCTGCTGCTGCTGCTGCTGCTTCGTCAGGAAACAAAGCGTATGTATGTATACGTACATTCTCTCAAGACTCCTTTTGTATCTCTCTCGGCTCACGACATCTCTATGAGCTCCGGAGCTCTCTCAGCGAGGAAAGTACTTTGCGATTCTAGTCTAGTTTTGCTTTTAAGCTTTAGCTGTCCAGAGATTGGATTCCGATCAATCACTCGTCTTGATCGGACTGGCTAAGCGCTGCTCGACTTGCAGAGGTCGTTTTGTCCGACCGATCGATCGATTTGTCGCAGGGAACAGCACAGCGAGCGAGCGAGCGAAATCTCGTGAAGGGCAAGAAACCAAAGTCTATACACACACCGCGCTCGCTCTAAAGCTACAAAGAGCCGCTGCCAAATGGGAGTGATGAAAGTCACATGATATGATGTGATGGGGTACCATACCATACATGGTCCCCATCATAGGAGAAGTCACATGGGTCCATGATGACTCCATGGACATGCCCGCCCCTTACCGTGTGGGTCCACCGTACGTACGGCACCGAGATGGAAGAAAAAGAACGCGGTCGGTGAAAAGAGATTTTTGTGCGCCTACCTGGCAACATCATTGCCGCCGGCTCTGCCGATCTGACGGCTGTGATGTGAACCCCGGTTAAGCTGCTAACCTCTCGCGGCAAAGGTAAAATGACATAGGCCTCACCTAACCCTAAAGTGTCGCTTTCACACACCGACAAAACCGGCAGGGAGGGCAAAAAAAACTGAAACGTCAAGGTTGACCTCATCTGACGGGCGCCCGGCGCGAAGCAAGGGGTTTTTAGAGGCCGTCAAATACGTCCTCTGGCAAGCGTGACGGGCGGGCGTCAGGAATATTTGAAGTTTGTGTCACGCCTGACACGTGTCACGATCACAGCCGGTCAAAGCGGGTTAGGTTTGGGCGAAGAATTAGGTCAGAAAAAGGTGGTGGCGGAAGTTGAAAAGTCAATAGGCGTTTCTTTAAAGAAAATTGTCTAAACTAGCGGGAAAGGTCAAAGGGAGACAACAGTTCCAATCAAACAATGCACAAAACAAGAGAGATTAGATCGCTCTTTGTCTTGATTTGTGTTCTTTCATTGAAGTTGGCCATGGTTTTTTCCATTCCAGTGAAGGTGACAATGAATGGGTCTCTCATCTCAGTCACTTTCCACTCTTAATTTGCAACACTATGCTTTGGTGAAAGCTGATCTCATCCATTTGACTCGCCCCACTAGTTTTCTCGCCAATCCCTTAGAAAAACACTTAGAAGAATCCATTCTCAAGTCCACAACACATGGCATTATTTGCTGCCAGTTTAGAATAACCCGCCCCCGAAGTTCCAGTGATCTTTCGCCGCTCAAAGTCAAGAACACCCCAATTTAAATCCGTTGCTGCGTCAATCCAGATAAAAACAACAACTGTGCACAGAATGGCAGATCGATTAAACAACGCCAGCGTATCAGACTGGAAAGGAAAGTTTAGAGCATACCACCTACGAAGAAGAAACCTTGGCGAGAGTCGTCCAACAAGCTGTAAAAACTATTACAGGGAATGAAGCAAAGAGAGGAAAACTAGAACTAAAAAACGCAAGCGAGAATGAGAGAAACATACTGCTCGTCTCGTGAAGGAAATGACGAAGGTTGTCGTCTACGAACTTCAAACTCCCGAGTAGTCCATCCAAACCACGTTCGATACTTGAATGCCTACAGAAAAAATTTCATGGTGAAGAGCATCCGACAAACGCCGTGGCGGCGAGCCACGGGAAGGCGAGAAAGAATCACGCTAGAAATTTAATAAGCCAAGCAAGGAGAGAAGACGAGACAAGCAATAGAGAAATGGAAAGAAAAAAGAAGAACACGTACGTGGCTAAGTCGCAATAGTCCAACTGTTGGCTTTTGTCGACTTGCTTGAGCTCACACGGGATCCTCTTCCAGGATTTTGCGATGATGGGACGCCTTCAGAAAGCTCGAAGCCTGCTGCTGCTACGTTGCTTAAACGCTACATTCCCTGCAGTGGACTTCGCGGAATTCCCCAAACGTACAACTATTTCCCTGGCACACCTCTTGCAGTGAATGGCCTCCCAGAGCTGACACTGTTTCCCCCGTGAGATCTCCTGTCTTCTCAGAATTCCCAGAACTGTAGCTATGTCCCGGTGCTACTCTACTTGTGGTAGACAAAAAGCGGCCGCCTGAATCCGGACTTATCACTCGGCAGCTCCGAGCTGATCTCTTCGTAGAACTTGAATCCAATCTTCTCGGTCAGAATGCTGGGGAAGTTGTCCGGCCGGAGTTTTATTCTCTGGAAGTTCTTTCTCGTCACCTCGGAAACTCTCCGCTTCTTGCTGTATGATTCCCACGGCTGAGGCTCCAGCACCAGGCGGCCACCCGGCCGCAGCTCCTTGAAAACCTTCGCGAAGAACTTGAGGAGGCCCTCGTCGCCCCAGTTGAGATGAATCCACTTGGAAATGCTCAAGCAGAGGATGGTGTCGTACGTCCCGGGCTTGCAATAAACGTCGAGGTAGTTCTGAGTTTTGAATGTAACTCTCTCCGAAAGCTCTAGCCCGCTTAAAACATTATCACCAGCTTCTTTTGCAGTGTGCTTTCCGCCAGCTACGACCCCACACATGGCAGCTTTTTGCACGACGGCTGCTTCCTCAGAATCTGTGCTTGGAGTTTTCCCAGAATTCTTCTGTTCACCACCTTGCTTGAAAGGGTACCCCTCGTCAGCTTCTTCCATCGAGTTAGCCTGCGATCCTCCATTCACTCCAAACACAGTTTCCTCGTTTTTCTGCTCACCATTTTCCTTCGCGTCTGGTTCAACTTTGTTAGCCTCCATTTTCTCTTTCTCTTCGACACCATCACTTGTGTGAGAAGCTAGAAATTCTTTCTCTGTCACTCCGTTTTCGCTACCCTCAAAATGTACTGCCGTAGCTGTTTCCACAGAATTGTCGCCTTGCGTCCTCACAGAAACCACCTCAACAAAGCTTCTCTCGGCTTCTTTCTCACAACTTTCCACGGCAGCCATGCTTTCGTGTTTGACACCATCTTTTTCCTCGGCAGCTCTCATTTTCCCGATTCCTTTCTCTTCGACAACATCTTTCTCGTCGTCGTGGCACGTTGCAAGCTCTTTCTCGTTTTCGCCACCATCGTCATTGGCAGCCGCGGCTACTTTTCCACCAAAACCCACCTTTTGCGTGTCGATCCTCCTCGCCGTTTCTTCGAGGCATTTCTCCTCGGCAATTCTCTCATCATCTTCTACTTTTCTCTCGTCCTCCTTGCTTTTCTCCTCCTTCTCCAGAGCTTCCACTTCGTGCTGTAGATTGCATCGTGCCTTGTAGATAAGCTTGCTATCAATGTCCACTCCCACCATGCTCTTACAGCAAAACTTCACCGCCAGCGCGATCGTCACATGCCCCTCGTTGCACCCAATGTCGAGACAATCCCTGTTCTCGATCCATTCCCGCTTGAAAACACTGACTCTCGGATCCTCCTCTAGCGTCTTCCCGACCCGGTAGCCATAGTAGAACGGATAGTTCCCATAGACATATTCCGGTTTCTTCCGTTTCTTCCCGCAATCCTGCTGCTGCGATCCCTGCATCTTACCTCGCCCTAGCGCTCGATCAATGGATCGATCGATCGGGAGCCCGCCTAAAACCCCGGAAATTTCAAGAACCCTGGCGCCCAAGAACCCTAATCCCTGGATCTTTATTGGAGATCGAATCGACGGCTAGGATGGAGTGATCGGGCGGTTAGAAGAAACTCTCGTGAAAGGGTGTTGGTGATCATCCCTATATGAATGATGAGACGATGGGCAAGAAATATTTTAGGGCTCGCGGACAAGAGCGGCCTTGATAGGGTGCGATCGATCGATCGCTGGGCGCGATGGAGCCGTGCCCGTCGCTCACATCCAACAAGAGGGTAACGCCGCCAGGGATCGCGATCTCGCGGAGCCTCAGCGGCCGGCAGTTCCAGTATGGATTCTACCGATTCCTCGTCCTCGCGCTCACATTCGTGGCCTACGCATGCTACCACGCGTCGCGCAAGCCGCCAAGCATCGTCAAGAGCGTGCTCGACCCCGAGCGATCGAGCAGCGGTGAGAATCAGGGCTGGTATCCATTTAATGGCAGGAACGGCAAGGTCAGGCTTGGCGAGGTGGATCTCGCGTTCCTCGCCTTCTACGCCTTCGCAATGTTCTTTGCGGGGCATCTGGGTGACACGATGGATCTCAGAGTTTTTCTCAGCATTGGCATGGTCGGCAGTGGGATCTTCGTGTGCCTCTTTGGCATGGCCTACTGGTGGAACATCCACGACTTCTACTACTTTATGTTCGTCCAGATCATGGCGGGGCTGTTCCAAGCAACAGGGTGGCCATCGGTCGTCGCCATCGTCGGGAACTGGTTTGGAAAATCTAAGCGAGGTCTCATCATGGGCATCTGGAACGCTCACACGTCAGTTGGAAACATCATCGGATCGCTCGTCGCGGCTAGCGCGCTGGAGCTCGGCTGGGGATACTCTTTCATCTTTCCGGGAGTTTTGATAATCGTAGCCGGGATCCTGGTGTTTCTGTTCCTGGTGGTGGAGCCAGCGGACGTGGATTTGCCGAGCCCAGCGGAGGTGGAGGCGACCGAGAACGCAACAAAGGTGGCGGTGTCGTCGAGCTCGCTGAGAATCAGCGAACCTGCTCGAGACGACTTGGAAGCTCCTCTCATCTCTTCGGCTCAGCAGCAGCACAGCCGAGCAAAGAGCCCCGAGCGTGGAAAGGCCGTGGAGTTTTTACAGGCTTGGAAGATCCCAGGAGTTCTTCCTTTTGCGTTTTGCCTGTTCTTCTGCAAGCTCGTCGCCTACACTTTCTTGTACTGGCTGCCGTTCTACATCAAGCAGACTAGTAAGTCTACCGCATCCCCATTCGCAGGTAACACAACATATAGAAGTGAAGGACAAAGAACCTTCTTTTAATCTATCTTCCTTGACGAAGTTGACGAACTTGGTGGTGTTCTTGCAGGAGTCGGAGCGAAATCCCTGTCGGAAAAGACTGCTGGGAATCTGTCAACACTTTTCGACATCGGTGGAGTCTTTGGTGGGATCCTAGCCGGCTACGCTTCGGACAGACTCAAAGCGCGAGCAATCACGGCGGCAACCATGACTTACCTGGCTATTCCAGCGCTGCTTCTCTACCACCGCTACGGATCAACGTCGATGGCGTCCAGCATCGCCCTGATGATGATCACGGGGATGCTCGTCAATGGCCCTTACGCGCTTATCACGACCGCGGTGTCAGCCGACCTGGGAACTCACAGCTCGCTCAAGGGCGACGCGAGAGCTCTGGCAACAGTGACCGCGATCATCGATGGGTGTGGATCGCTGGGGGCGGCGATCGGGCCAGTGTTGACAGGATATCTCTCCACCAGCGGCTGGGACAAAGTTTTCTACATGCTGATGGTGGCGGCGCTGGTGGCGGGCCTGCTGTTGACGAGACTGGTGGCGGCAGAGATCCGGGAGAAAGTTAGCAGCTACCATTCGCGAGGTATGGACTCTTTCCAGTTCTTGAAAGATGGTAATAACGCTGCTACTGCTACTGCGAAGCTGGAGGGTGATCGTCTTCCAGTCTAGGATCAGGATCTCTCTTGTTCTTGATGAGAGTTTTTGTGACTCCTCGGTTTTGGCAGATTGATCGCGAGCTAGAACAGAAGCGTTCCGTACGTCCTTGAAAAAGAGGCGTACGGGGAAAAGAACTTTTGTAAACTAAGTGTACTTATTAACTGATCTAAACCACATTTCGAGTTCAATCTGAGACGTAGATGGTAGGTTTCCGCTTTTGGCCGTCCGATCCAAGCGAAGCCCTAGTTTTTTAAGAGCAAGAGATTTAGGAATCATGGTCAATAAGCAAGGAGAGAAGGGGTAGATTTTTCAACGTTCAAAACAAGCACAACAAATAAGAGAATAGACGAGTTTTTCTGGTGAGCTAAGGCTGAAACTTCTGCCTCCAGCCAGGGCTCTAACAAAAGGGGCTTATGGACACCACCACCATCGGTGACTAGTGTTCCAAAGTCACCACCATGGAAACCATCATCCATTGGTGTGTGGCCGAGGAAGTCTGGACCACCGACACTAAGCAGGACTCACAATTAGCAATGACTTCAGGGCCACCATCATTGGCAACTAGTGAGGGTACTCAGCTTCACCACCTTTGTCTTCAACACCAACTAAGGAGAGAGGGCCAGTGTTTCCTCCTTTATGGCTTCCTTGTATTGCTCCCTTTCACAATGGTACATGCAGGACTCGACCTACACAACAACCACCAACTCCTCAGCTAGCAAACTCTACTCCAGCAGGCCACCACCACTTGCATTGGGCTCCTCCACCTCAGCCATCACCACTTTCTGGCACACACAGCGGCAGCAGCAACGGTCCAGTGGCGGAAAGCGCACCACTGCCACCTTCTCAGTGTTTCTCAACACACAGTGGTGCACCACAATCATCAAAAGCTGGTCGCTCTTCAGGCTCTCTAAGACTCCAGCCATCCCAGATATGTGTTCTTCTCCATTGCTGGACACCTCCTTTTACATAATTCTCGCAACACAACCATCATCGTCCACCACTGGGTGATCATTCTTGGCCTTCCTCACCACGCAGTGGCAGCCACGGTCTAGGACAATATAGGGAAAGCACACCACCACCACTTTCTGCACATAGTGGTGCACCACCACCGCCAAAAGTTGGTTGCTCTTCAAGCCCTCAAGGCTCACCGCCCATTGCTAGACACCTCCTTTTACATAATTCTCATAAGAGAGGTAAACATAGCCACCATCCTTCACCATCGGGTGATCATCCTTAGACTTCCTCACCACATGGTGGCAGCCATGGTCCAGGACACCATAGGGAAAGCGCACCACCACCACTTCTACACACAGTGGTGCACCACCATCGCGAAAAATTAGTTGCTCTTCAAGCTCTCAAGGCTCACTGCCCAACAATCCCAAGTATGTGTTCCTTTGCATTGTTGGACACCTCCTTGACATAATTCTTGCAGGAGAGGTAAATACGGCCACCATTATTTGGCTCAGCAGAGTGATCATCCTCGGCCTTCCTCACCACAAGGTGGCAGCCACGGTCTAGGATGCCATGCACCACCACCACACAGTGGCTCGAGATTCACCTCCTGTCAATTTCAAGTATGTGTTCCTCTGCAATGCTGGCTACCTCCTTTACATTGATCCTTGCAGGAGATCCACCATCATTCCACACTACCTCCTTCACCACCCGATGATCCACATAGTGGCAGCCACAGACGCCATGGGAAAAACGCACCACCGCCACATTCCTCTGCACACAGTGGCAACAGTGGTGCACTGCCACCACCAAAAGCTAGTCACTCTTCAAGTTCTCAAGGTTCACCTCCTAGCAATTTTGGATGGCTTGTTACCTCCTTGACATAATGCTTGTAGGCATTCTGGATCCTCCATCTCAACCACCACCTCCAACTCACAAGCATCATCACCATTCTTATGGTGATCTTGGAAGTGTCGACTGACGTCCATATGGTGATTCTAGAACTTTCGATTGGCATCCACAATGTGATCTTGGAAGGATCAATCGGAACCCTTACGATGATCTAGGAATTCTAGCAGCCTCAACAGTCCCAACAGTCCTAACAGGCAACAGCTTGAGCTCCCTTCGAGCTCCTCAAGGTGCACACTTCTCTCTAGCAACAACAGAAATAGCAACCTTGGTGTGGATCACGTTTGTGGCCATTTCCCCATCATCCTTGGCCTTGTGGTCATGCTCTTCATCAAGTGGAGACACTCTCGACGACACCAAAGAAGGGACAAACCTTTTCTTGTCTATAGTGTTGTGGCTGACATTGATGAGCATGACAGAGCAGCAGTGTAGCAGTGATTCAAGGTAAGCTTTAAAATCAAAGTTATTTTCTTCATAAATTCTAATGTTATCTTTTATAACCGAAGCTCATTCAGCATCAGTGCCATTCTACGCTGTAGCTGTATCTAAATCTCTAATCGAGCCTGAGCAGCAGCAATATTCAATATTGAGCAACAACAATACAATGCTCAACATCAAGCACAAATGTGTTGCCTTTGAAATCTTTTACAGATTCGAAGGTGCCATCTTAAAAAATCCAATAGCAAGAAGGTTAAATTTCTGAATTATTTGTCCATCTTCTAAATTGGTTTTAATGGCAATTCTTTTTTTTCCCATTTGGTATTATTTTAAAGCATAAATTAATCTATATATATAGAAAAATAATGTGTTCAAAACATAGTTGTCTTCAATGCTCCTTATGATATTACTAGGCATTTACTCGACTGCATCCCTCTCTTGCCCTTTCCCTAAAAAAGCGGCGCTCCACATTGGGAGTGATAGGGCGATTTGTGTAGGAAAATTTAAAAGATCTTAACAAAAAAAGTTTGGATGATGATAGGAAAGACACTTGCATGTGACATGTGTCGCTGTGTCTTCTTCTCCTGCCCCACGCAGCTTTCCATTGGCCGAGAGCAAACATCAAACAAATTTCTCACACAACCATGGCTACCAACCATGGCTACCAACCCTGGCCCGGGCCTGGGATCTAACAGCTGGCGAGCCTCCCCGCTATTGCTTTATATGTATAGATATTGACAAAGTTCAAATGAAGCTTGTGAGAAGGATTGATTTTT